TTAACAATTCTCTCTCTCTCTTCTGGTTCTGTCCCGCTCACTGATAATTCCACCATCATCAACCTTCTTGAGAAAGACTGACTCTTCATCCTACCATCTTTTCAAACTGTCCATCTCCAACCTCACTTTCATTGATGATTAAGAATTAGGGACCAAGTGTAGTGTGTCAAAGTTCGCAGATGACACCAAGATGAGTGGTAGAGCAAAGAGTGCAGAGGACACTGAATGTCTACAGAGGGATATAGATAGGTTAAGAGAGTGGGTAAGGGTCTGGCAGATGGAGTACAATATTGAGGTTATCCAGTTTGGTAGGAATAACAGCAAAATGGACTATAATTTAAATTATGAAACATTGCTGCATGCTGCTGCGCAGAGGGACCTGGATGTCCTTGTGCATGAACCAAAAAAAAAATCGTATGCAGATGCAGCAGGTAATTAAGAAGGTAAATGGAATACTGACCTTCATTGGTAAAGGAATGGAATTTAAAAATAGGGAGGTTATGCAGCAGCTGCATACGGTGCTGGTGAGGCCACACCTAGAGTACTGTGTACAGTTTTGGTCTCCTGACTTGAGAAGGGATATACTGGCACTGGAGGGCGTACAGAGCAGTATCACTAGGTTGATTCCAGAATTGAGACGGCTGATGAGAAGAGATTGAGTAGACTGGAACTATACTCATTGAATTTAGCAAAATGACAGTGGAGCTAATAAAATTATGAATGGAATAGATACGAGAGAAGCAAGGATATTGGGTGGGTGGAACTAGAACTAGGGAACATTGTCTAAAATAAGGGAGAGCAGATTTAGGACTGAGTTGAGAAGGAACATCTTCTCCCAAAGGATTGTGAATCAATGAATTCCCTGCCCAGTGAAGAATTTGAGGCAACCCCATTGAATGATTTTAAGGCAAAGATTTTTGAACAGTAAAGGAAATGAAGGTTATGGTGAGTGGGCAGTTAAGTGGAGCTGAATCCATGAAAAAATCACCCATGATCTTATTGAATTTCAGACCAGGTTCAATGGACCAAATGGCCTTCTCCTGCTCCTATTCCTTATGTTCCTCTTGAAATTCCCTGAACTTGGTTGTCCCTCAAGGATCTATCCTTAGCTCTGCTGTTATACCTTTTGTTATAATAGACTCTAAGATGTATCCAATAACAGATGTTAAGCTAACTGGTCTACAGTTAACTTTTTTTTCCCTACATACAGGTACTAAACTGGCAGTTTTCTAATCCTCTGGGACTCTTCCAAACTTGAAATATTCTTGTAAGATGACTACCAGTGCATGCACGATCTCAGCAGCTAGTTCGTTTCATATCCTACGATGCAACCCACCAGATCCAGGGCTTTAATTGGTATTTAGCTCCATGAGTTTTCCCAATGTTTCATCTCCAATGATATTCATTGCATTTATTTCCTATCCTTTTTTTTGCCTTTTGGCTATAAAACAATTTTGAAATTCTACGAGCAGCTTCTATTGTGAAGACTGGCATAGTGTATTTATTCAACTCTTCTGCCATTTCATGGTTCCCCATTATTATTTTCCCAGTTCATTCTCTCAAGGGCCTGTGCTCACTAGATTTAGACAGGCAGATTTTTCTTTTTAATCAGTAGAGAAATTAAGGGTTATGGGAAATGGCAGCACAGTGGACTTGATGATGATCAGATCTGCCACGATGGCCTACTCCTGCTCCAGCACCTTGTGGATGGCAGTGTTTTTAATACATGATGGAAGCCCCTACAATTGGCTGAAAGCTGCTGCATCTAATTTGGATTAGATGTTCTCCTTGTGGATATTATCAGGCAGGAGCAATCATTCCAACTCACTCGATTCCTGTTCTTGTGGGAAGTTTTGTCGTTATTTGTAAACTCGAAGCAATGTGACAATTTTCCACACAAGTGCGTGTTGCTCCCTCAAATGGTGACTGTGACCAGAAGTGCAGCTTTTCCTGAATTTGGCAGAGACAGAAATCTGCCTGGGGGATTAAAACATTGCCTTCTGGGAGAGATGGTGTGGATTTGGAAGGAAACAATTCATTCCAGGACTTTGGACGGGAAAGGCAGGTTCAAAATGAGACAGTAACTTGCAGGGATGGTGGGGTTGAAACATGAATATGGCAGGTTTACAAAAAAAGGGACAGTGCCAGCAAAAGAACTGTTAACAAATGCAGCAAATAGAGATATTCAGTGGTCAGACATTTCATGGGAATAAGGTCGTTGGAGCAGGAAGTGAGAGTCTTGGACAAGGTGAGCTCTAACATGGCATGTTAGGAAATGGAGACAGAGTGAAGACA